CAGGTGCCCTAGTACTACGCACAAGCAACCAGCCACTTCATTCAGCCGGCAGCCAAACTGACCCACGGCTTAGTGACCTCGTGCCACTCCTTGTTGGGCAGCATGGCTGATGACAGTGTGAGGCCTCGGGAGGAGCAAGTGGGGCCCTCCAGCAAGTGTAGCAGGGCCGACCCTAATATTGTTGGGGGTAAAGGGGGCAAGGGTGCCCGCAAGAAGGCCTCCCCGGGTCCCTCTGATTCCAGTGACAAAGCCAGGCAAGGCCCTCGCCACCACAAGCAGGTGGAGGGCTCCGAGCTTCAGCCCCAAGGGGCCCGCCCTCCTTCAGAGCAGGCCACACATTCACCTGTGGGCCTTTCTGTCAGGGAAGGAGGTGGTGACTCCCCCTCTGTCAGAGACAGTGGTTCCCCATCTCTGGATAGGGAATCTTCCAGGGACCCCTCCCCTGATGCATCATGGGGCTACCCTGATTCCCCCAGTTCATCTCTCAGGGAGGAACTGGATCCTTTTCAGGGCATGTTGCCCGCTTAGGAAGAATATGTCACTGGCAAGTGTAAATGCCCTGATCTCCCCAGTAGGCATCGCCCCAGGGAGGACAAGGGCTCAGCTCTGTCAGTGGAGATGAGGGAAGTTATTTCCATTGCTATCTCCCAAGGAATAGCTGAGGGCATAAAGATTAAGTCTAAGCCTTCCAGATCCAAGCAGCCTAGCTTGGCCACCTTTAAAGAACCGGCCTCCCCGGACACCTCTGCTTCTTTGGAGGGGTCCTCCTCCTCGGAAGAGGAGGCCGAGGGGTTTGTCCTCTCGGATGATGAGGACCTCCCCCTGACCAGCCGGCCTTCACTGGCCTCTTCAAACCATCATTGTTCAAATCCATCCTCCACAAGGCCAGGGTGGCCACTGAATTGGGACCTAGTCCCAAACCTGACTCTGCCCAGACCTCTTCCTCTCAGGACCACAAACAGGGACTGCTTAAGGAGCCTCCCTCTACCCGGGAATCCTTCCCTGTCCCGGATCTATTTTTGGACGTGATCCAGAGGCAATGGGTCCAACCTGGTACCCTAACAAATCCCGGCGGGGGGGGGGGATAAGTCTCTCTATTCAGTTGAGGACAAAATGGAGGAGGTTTTGAAATTGCCAGAGGTGGAAGCTCCGGTCATGTCCTTAACCTCGAACTCTAATTTTCCTGCGGACCTGCTCGAGGATCTTAAGGCCGAGGATAAAAGATCGGAAAAGGCATGCCACAAAACACACATGGCAGCGGCCTGGGCTATTAAGACATCCACCTCGGCATCATTCTTCACCAGAGCATTGCTGCTCTGGCTGAGGCAGTTGAGAGCCAAGCCACCCACCAGGAAATCAAAATGGCGCCACGATCTCATGAAGATCATCACCGCCATTGAGTATTCAGCGGATGCTTCGCTCAATACAGCGAAGTTCGCATCCAGGGCCCTGGCCTCCAATGTAACATCTTATGCGCCTCCTGTGGCTACGCCACTGGCAGGCTGATCTGAAGGCCAAGTGGAAGCTTGATTCCGCCCCCTTCAAGGGAGGACACCTATTCGGGGATGCCCTGGATAAGTTTGTTATAGAGACTAAAGACAAGCAAAAGGTTCTCCCGGCCACTCTTAAGAAGAACGAACGCAAACAGTTTGGCTCCTTTCGCAGGCAGGCCATTTGGAATCAGGACTCTGCACAGGTTTCCTCCTCCTCCTCCTACCAGAGGCCCTTCCATCAGGGGGGGTGACAGAAACCAGGAGAGGGGTTCCTTTAGTTCCCGTGGGAGGCAACACCAGTCCTCCTTTCTATAGCCATTTCGAGGGGGCCACGGCGGTAACAACAGTTCTCGCCAGTTCCGCAGGGGAATTGACTGCCAGGGGATTCCTCCCATAGGGGGTCGGCTACAACTATACCCCGACAGGTGGAAGGAGATCACCTTAGACAGCTGGGTCCTATCCACCATCAGGAGGGGTCTGGTTCTGGACTTTCTATCCTTCCCTCCAAGGAAGTTCATCCGCTGCCCCACCCCCGAGAATCTGCTAAAACGGGAGCTCATGCGGCAGGAGATCCTCCATCTTCTCCAGACAGAAGCCATAGAGCCCATCCCCACAGTACAGGAACGACAGGACTTCTACTCCATACTCTTCTTAGTTCCGAAGAGTTCGGGGGGGTGGTGGAGGGCCATCTTGGACTTAAAGAGCCTCAACCAGCATCTGGCTTACAAGAGGTTCAAGATGCAATCCCTCCACTCAATTCTGGATTGCGTGCGGGAGGGGGACCTGTTAACTTCCATAGATTTGAAGGAAGCCTACCTCCATGTCCCCATCCATGCTGCCCACAGGAGGTTCCTAAGGTTCTGCTCTGAGGGGAAGCATTATCAATACAAGGCTCTCCCCTTCAGTCTCTCATCAGCACCCAGTACCTTCACCAAGATCCTGGCAGTGGTGGCAGCCCACCTCCGGACCTTCCCCATACGTCTGGAATATTATTTGGATGGTATAATTATTCATTCTGTCACAGCAGAGCAGGCTCGAGAAGATGTCCGCCTCACGATCCATACGCTGCAGCAGCAGGGCTTCTCTGTCAACTTAGAGAAGAGCCAGCTTCGACCAATAACACGCATTTGACATCTCGGCGCCATCATCTACTCAGTCGCCAGCCGTGTGTTCCTGTCGCCAGATCGCCTGAGCAATCTCAGGTCCAGAGTCAAGCGTTGTCATCTGTCCAGGTCGGTGCCAATCATTGAACTCTCCCAGCTGCTGGGGCTGATGATTTCTTGCCTAAATATTGTGCCCTGGGCCCACCTCCATGCCAAGGAACTGCAATGGTTTCTCTTGCCCATGCAGAGGGCCAAAACCAGCAACTCCCACAGGCGGGTGCGCCTTCGACGGAAGGTGGTACAGTCTCTAACCTGGTGGAAATCCAAGGTGATTGTAAAGGGCTGCCTGTTCAGGGAACCAGAGTGAATCATAGTCACCACAGACACAAGTCTCCTGGGTTGGGGCACCCACTGCCAGAATCAGCTAGCCCAGGGTCAATGGTCCCAGAGGGAGGCTGCCCACAGCATCAACTGGCTGGAGCTGAGGGCAGCCCGACTCGTCCTGCGACGCTTCTCTCGCATGATCAAGGGGAAGCATGTACTGTTACTCACGGACAATGTGGCCACAAAGGCCCACATAAACAGGCAGGGCGGCACACATTCCAAGACACTTATGAGGGAGGCGGAAGCCCTGGGAAGGTGGGCGGAAAGACGTCTGGCTTCTCTCAGAGCAGATCACATCTCCAGGACCAGCAATCGAGAGCCAGACTGGCTAAGCCGACAGCACATCGATCACGCAGAGTGGCGTCTACATCCAGATCTGTTCCAGCAGATCGTGAGGAGATTCGGCAAACCGCAAGTAGATCTCTTTGCCACACACTCCAACACACAACTGCCACGATTCTTCACCCGCTACCATTCACCATCGGTGGAGGGGACGAACGCACTGAGGTGCGAGTGGCCCCGAGAACTCTTATACGCATTCCCGCCTCTTTCCCTCATCCCTCAGGTGATTACAAAGATCCTGAGGGAGCGGGCAGAAGTCATTCTGGTGGCACCGTTCTGGCCCAGGAGGTCCTGGTATGCAGACCTTGTCAGTCTCTCCATTCAGAGACCGTGGAGAATTCCTCAGGACCAAATCTCCCTCAGCCAAGGGGCCATCACTCATCCGGAGCCCCAGTGGCTACAACTAGCCGTCTGGCACTTGAGGGGGATCTCCTGAGGAAGCAAAACATCTCTGACAAGTCATCAGCACTATCCAAGCGTCCAGGAGGCCTTCCACGACCAGGATCTACAATGCGATCTGGCCGCCTTCTCCTCTTGGTGTAAAGATAAGGGTATTGTTGATTTTTCTGCCTCAGTCCCTCAGAGTTTGGACTTCCTACAGGAGGGACTGGACAAGGGACTAGCACCTAGCATGCTTAGGCATCAGGTTGCCGCTTTATCTACTATTCTGGCCAGGAGTTCCTCTCGCTCTCTGGGTCAATACCCCCAGATCAAAAGTTTTCTAAAGGGTACAGTGAACATCAGTCCATCTGTAATCCACCGTTATCTGTCCTGGGACCTTCCATTTGTCTTGAAGGCCTTGACGAAGTCTCCCTTCGAGCCCCTTCGGAAGACGACCCTACGCCACCTAACTATTAAGACTGCATTTCTGGTGGCCATTACTTCTGCTCTCAGAATCTCCGAATTGGCAGCTCTCTCTGTCAGGGAGGATCTGTGTGTGGTCCATCCCAACAGGGTTATACTAAGACTTGACCCTTCATTTATTCCTAAAATCAATTCCACCTTCCACAGATCTCAAGAAATTATATTGCCTAATTTTTGTCCCAGACCTTCTCACCCTAGGAAACACGAATGGCATAAGTTGGACGTGAGGCGTGCCATCCGCGTTTATGTGAAGAGAACCAGTGTCTTTCGTCGTTCCGAG